GGTTTAGTGGTAATGAACTCTTAGTTTTTGTTGGCCTGGAAACTCTATCACTCCTTCAATTCTAAATGATAACCTGACAGGTAGAGTGTTTTTGGTTGTAAGTTTTTCTTTCAGCACTTTGAATACATCATGCCACTTTTCTAGCTTGCAAAATTTCTGCTGAAAAATCTGATAGTCTTATAGGTTTTCCCTTGTAGTTAACTTTTTGTTTCTTTGTTGCTGCTTTTAGGAGTCATTAACATGTCACTGTCTCCCCAGCCAATCTCTGTGTGGTCCCTCTATCCTTTGTTGTACAGAAGCTTTTTTAGTCAGCCCTCAGTTCTTCAGGAGAATTTGCTCTACATGTAGGTGTGGATTCAGTGTGTCTGTGGAGGAGGTGAGTTCAAGGCTTCCTATGTCTCCATTTTGAATCTATGTATATTTTTTAAATGCACTGGAACATTTACTCCATGAAGATGGAGTTTGTTTAGTTTACTGCAGATTCTCATTGCTAGAATAGTTCTTGGCATCTCATAATCACTCAATAAGTTAAATAAATGTTCTCAAAGCAAATGGAGCCACTGGGCAATGACTTAGAATAATTATTTTAGTGGTGACTTGGAATTACTATTAATGTAATTAATGTAACAGTCATGTATTAAGTGGCTGGGATATAGGAATTTCCTCCTGTATTAATGATGACAGATTGAAATTTTTAATCTTTTTTAATAAATTGAGATAGAATTGGCAGATAACATTCCTTTCAGGTGTACAACATAATGACTCAACACTTGAATATTTTGCAAAATGATCACCATATGTCCAGTTAACATCCATCATAACACATAATTATAATTTTTTCTTGTGATGAGAACTTAATACCTAAATTATCTACTTTCTTATCATCTTTCAGTATAGTATTATTATTTCTTTAATAAATGGAATTTCATCTGTTTGTTTTGTTTGATCCTTTTCTAAATTGTTAGATGTCAGTTCTTGATGTTCTCAGAGCATCTTTCTGGCAATGTAAACAATGATTATTTTTGCCTTAAAATCTCTTCTCACAGAAGCCTTAATAGTAGGAACTGTGTTCTTTTATTCTCTTTTATCCCCAGTGCTAACTAACTCCAGTACCTAGATTATAGTAGGCAGTTCATAAATACAGTCAAATCAATGAACATCAAGTGTATCTTGGGAGAACAAAGACTACCAGCATGTCTTCTCACTTTCATTTAGGGAAATCATTAGATATTTTCTCTTTGTTTTATTTCATATCCTTTTTTAAAAGGTATGCATGGGTTGTTTTTTTTTTTTTTTAATTTGTAGATTCTATGCATCTGAAAGAAGTGGGAGGACCTCTTTTTTTCCTATATTTCTATAAGCAAAAGAAGCTATTTAAAAACATTTCTGAATATGATTAGAATAAAAATGAATTAGATTTATAGTAATTCTTCTCTTTAGAATTGACACACATTAAATCACACATAGTGCTTTTTGATCAAATGCAATTTATAGAAAGACTAATAACTAGATATATAGCCAATGAGAAGAAATTGTCTTCTCAATCCATAAAATGGCATATTTCTTTAATGACAAGTGTTTCAATTTGGTACGATTCTTTTTCACAAAAATGTAAATCTGTGCATAAAATTATATTGATGAGAGACTATGGACTCTGAGAAACAAACTGAGGGTTCTAGAGGGGAGAGGGGTGGGAGGATGGTTAGCCTGGTGATGGGTATTAAAGAGGGCACATATTGAATGGAGCACTGGGTGTTATACGCAAACAATGAATCATGGAACACTACATCAAAAACTAATGATGTAATGTATAGTGATTAACAAAACATAATAAAAAAAAACTAATGTAATGTATGGTGATTGACATAACATAGTAAAAAATTATATTGATGAATTAGGTAATTTTAAAGTATCATTCCATTTTTAAACATTGATGCTACATAAATCAATCATATTGCAATATCTCTGTCCTCACTGGCTTATTCCAGAAAGCTTATACTTAAGAAATCACATATATATACAATGATCAGTATAACACTAACATATTATGCCTAAATGGAAAAGAAATTATCAATAAATTAAAACTAAGTTATTTGAATCAAAAAGGTACATAACTATTTTTTTCCAGAAAAATCTAAAAACCTAAATTTCCATGCAAAATATATAATCTCAAGTCCAAACTTTAGAAATTTTGAATCAGCTTTGGCGTTTGATTTTTTTTGAGAGAATTGCTCATTTTATTTATTTCTTTAATACAAAAATTGTATTTACTTAGAAGCATTCAGAATACCAACAAAACAGCTACAACTTTTTTTTTGTAATTATGTAGTGATATCAACAGAACAATAATTATTTCATAAGCTGCATCAGAGACAACTGAAGATGGAAAAGCTGCCATCCCCAAATATAACTAATTTGTGTCATGCATTAACAAGACTGATTTAAATTTTCACACCAATTTACAACCTCCATACTGTACCAGGCAAGGTTAGTGGCTATTGATAATACCACCAGGACAGGGTTATCTCAAGACACATTTGGTAGTGTGTTAACTATAAAAAAAAAAAAAAAAAGACACTGTAGAGCTTAAAAACAAAACTTTCACAGCTTTACGTGTCAATTTTTTTCTTTAAAAGGAGTGATTTTTATACAGGGGGGTTAAATGCCTTATAGACAAAAGAAAAACTGCACTAGAACCAACTTATTCATCATCATCATCATCTTCTTTATCTTCATTTTCCTCCTCCTCCTCATTCTCTTCATCTTTCTTCTCTTCCTCTTCCTTCTTTTCTTGCTTTATTCAGCCTTGATGACTCCCTTTTTTGCCACATTAGGCTTTCCTTTAGCTCAGTATGAGCAATATCTTTTCCATATTTTTCCTTCAGCTTAGCAGCCTTCTAGTCATAATGCTGTTTGTCGTCTGAAGCAATGTTATTCTGCATTTCTCCCAGTTTCTTTGCAATATTACCAGTAGGTAGGCTGCAATATTCTTCTGTGATTTGGGGGCAATATTCAGAACAAAGCAAGAAAAAGGCTGAAGGAGGCTTCTTGGGTGCACTAGGATCCTTAAACTTCTTTTTTGTTTTCCCTGTAGGGGGGGATGTAAGTTTTCATTTCTCTTTCATAACCAGTCTTGTCCACCTTTGTCTTGTCTTCAAATTTTCTTTTCTCTTTAGCAAACATGGTCTTCCACTTCTCTGAGCACTTCTTAGAAAACTCTGAGAAGTTGACTGAAGCATCTGGGTGCTTCTTCTTGTGCTCCTCTCAGCAAGTTGGCACAAAGAATGCATATGATGACATTTTGCCTCTCAGCTTCTTAGGATCTCCTTTGTCCATGTTTAATTATTTTCCTCTGTGAGGCACAAAGTCACCCAGTGCCCATCTGGCTCTCACTTGCCCTGTCACTGTCTCTGTGGAGCTCAGTGTACTGCAATGACTGTGAGAGTGGGAACCAGATGCAGCCTCCTCACTCTCTCCACTCTTGAGAATTTCTCATTGTAAAATTTTAATTAAATTACCTTCATAATGAATAAAAACAAACAGCTATGATCTTGTTCCTTATATTTTTCTTATATTTCACCAATGTTACTCTGGTTTTCCAGAAGGCAAGTGTTTTTATTGTTTTTAAGTAGAATATAATTCTAACTTGGACATTTTAGAATCATTTATTCCAAATCAAACTAATGAATAGCTCATGAGGAAAAAGTACTGCCGTATAATTGTATGTTGTACCCTGAACTATACACAACGATTATTGAATCAGTTAAATAACACAATCTATATGAATTGTTTCCTTTAGTTCTCAATAAAAGCAAAGTCACTGAGCTAGCTTAAACACAGTCCCCAATACAGAATTTATTCAAATCATACTGCGGGAATCTAATTGAAGCCAAGGAAAAAATTAAATCTTTTTCCTCTTATTGTGGGAGCTCCTGACCTCAACATCAGGACTTTTTGAACTTCCAGCTAGAACTCTGCTGGCATGTGTCAGCTCTCAACTCTCAACCTCTCATTCTCAGATGAAGTTCTTAATCATGTGCACATGCATGGGAACATATGAGAGAGAGAGAGAGAGAGAGAGAGAAATGGAGATTTGAAAGGTCCAAAGTATTCGAATGTCCACATCTCATCTTGTCAACTCTTTTCTTGAAGTAGGACTGCAGAAGGAAAACACAGTGACTGGGTAGTAATAGCTAGCGTTTGTTGACGACTGTGTACTAGGCACTGTTCTAAGCACTTTCTACATGTTATCTTGTGTAAGCCTCTCAATGATCTAGAATTACTATTATACTATTATACTATTTTACATATAAAGAAACTGAAACAGGAGCACCTGGGTGGCTCAACTGGTTAAGCATCCATTTCTTGATTTCGGCTCCAGTCATGATATCAGGGTTGTGGGATTGAGCTCCATGCAGGGGCTGGGCATGGAGGCTGCTTGGGATTCTCTGCTTCTCCCTCTGCCCCTCCCTGTCTCTGATTGCACACTCTTTCTCTCTAAAAAAACAAAAAAACCCAAAAAACAAAAACACAAAAAACAAACAAAACTGAAACACAGATGCAGTAGGAAAAATGTCCAAAATTACACAGTTTTTAAGTGATGGAGCTTTTATTATAATAAGGACTGTCTGTTTCCAGGGACTATTAACCACTACATTCTTTTTTTTTTTTTTTTAAAGATTTTATTTATTTATTTGACAGAGAGAGAGATAGCTAGAGCAGGAACACAAGCAGGGGGAGTGGGAGAGGGAGAGGCAGGCTTCCTGCTGAGCAGGGAGCCCGATGTGGGACTCAATCCCAGGACCCCAGGATCATGACCTGAGCCGAAGGCAGACGCTTAACGACTGAGCCACCCAGGCGCCCAGTTAACCACTACATTCTGCTGAATATAATTTGGGGACACAGTTGGCACAAGAGGTGGGCTAAGCATATTCCACAATAAGTGTCTATTAAAATGTCTTTTGTGCTCAGGAAGCTGAAAAAATAATCAAAACTTCAGATTCATGTAACACTTCATTTTAATCTGTGATGATCTTAATGATTTCCAATAATTGTGCATATCAGATCATGTGGGGTTAATATCTTCATTTTACAAAAGAAGCAACTGAGAATCGGAATGACTGTTTGATCAAAAATGACCATCAGATTAAAACCTAATAGAATTTAGAATATGACCCTCAGGACCCCCTAAGACAGATCTTTTTGCAGTTTATTCCACTAGTAGGTCAACATGACATATCCACCTGCTAGAAAACACTCATGCATTTGACCTGAGCTTTTCTCTCCAAATGGCACTGTATTTTTTTTCTTTTGACAAGTACTTCTGTAGTTTATTTACAACATTAGAAAAGAAATCTCAAATGTATAAAAGAATAAGCACTTGAAAATTAAAAATGAAAGTTTTTCTGAGATTGCTTGATATGAATTCACGTACATTCAATCAGAAAGCTTTAGTCTGAAAAACACATAAAAATTCATTTTTAGATAAAAGTTAGAAGAAGTAAAAACCTTATAATGTTGCCCTAGGTCTGATATACTCATTAATCCTAGCTGAAATGTTAGTTTTCTGTCAAATAGACCAGACCACATTCCCCAGGACAGTCTGTAAATAGTGAAAGTGAAGCCCAAACCTTACTGTGGGCATTGGAAAGATGGCTTAAGTCTAACTGAAGCTGAATGACCATAAGGTGAGGGAGAAAGTATAAGGTGAAAGAAGTGGGAAAGACGTTCATTGCACTACACAGTGTTTGTTTCAGATTAAAACTCAGAGATGAGTTACTGTGGTCTTCTAACTGAGCCCTAAAGAGAAATGGTCCATAGGAAGAACATGCAAAAACTTCTTTCACTAATAACAGTCCAATTGTGGGTCACAGGCAGCACTACTTTTTAAAATCTGTCCTTTGTCTCAAAGACATAAAAGTTGACAAGGGGATGTTCTCCCCATTTATACTGGACACAGCTTATCTTTGAAGAATCTTATGCTGTAAGAGACTATACACCTGATGGGTTAAAGAAGCTATATATCAGTAACAGCTGGGGTCATCATTGGAGTGGTAAAGACAATAGCAGGAGACCATTTCCAGGAAAACACAAAGCGAGAAGACTGATGTAGATACTCAACCCTGCCATGTGGCCCTTCTAGTATTGCTTTAGGTCTAAAGTCCTGGCTTAATATACGAGATCACAAGCCTCTTAAATATCAATCTTATATATGGGCATTTTCACTTTACATATTTTCATCTTGTTTTCTCTTAAACCCCTCTAGAAATTTTATAATTAATATCAAGTAATATATCTTACTCATTCATAAGAAATGTCATGGTACCTAACCAATGAAGATTAACATTTAGGAATTTTATAGCTATAAGAGCTTGGTATGTGGCATATATCATTGGAGATGTTTATGGCAAAAACAGCCCAACTATGGTCTCTAAGTTATATTTGAAGGAGCAATTCTTCAGCCAATCCCCATTCTTAACTTTTCATGCACCATATGGTCCTAAAATTATGTGATTAAATATAGGAAAATGAAACATTGCTTCTGAAGTGGAAATGTTGACAGTTATCTTTCTTATTGCAATCCTTGCAATTTCAGATTAACTATACAGTTAATAATGTCTTTGTGTAGAAGAAAGGATTCTTGGAGAAGGGCTCTTGTGAAGGTTACATCTATTATTTTTTAATGCTTGTCAGCTCTTCAGAGCTCTCCTGGCAACCACTGTAATATAAAATATGGATTTCACAAACAAAAGCAGAGGCTCAAACTCATTATTTTTTTCTTCTTGTATTAGTTCTGCCAAGTCCTTGATGCCTGAAATAGGAAAGAAAAAAAAACCTTTGTTTTTTTTTTTTTCTTGTAAAAGCTATCAGATCAGTCCAACCACTTGAAGACCATTATTACTCCATGAAAAGTTTCTTCATACGATGAAAGGTGAAACTAATGTCAGATCATAATTTTAAATCATTGTAAATAGGGTGGTGGTGCTGAAGAATGGAAGAGTAAAAGGTTAGAAAAGGTTAGATGCTTTATGATTTTGTTCCTTAACTTGTTGCTAAAAAAAATTGAACATATCACTTGCTTTATTTCTAATTTTTTTGTTCCATTAAGGTTCCAACCAACCATCCATCCATCCATTCTTACTTTCTACAAACATTATCTTTTACATGCTATCCCCACCTGGATGCTACAAAAGTAGAAAAAATAAGCACTTAACTACAAGGAGCTCAAAATCTGCTGGGGGGCAGAGAGATAGGCATAAGTAATAGAAGTATAATGTGATCATTTCTAAGATGTCTAAAGTACTACCCCAACCTGGAAGAGCCATAAAGTAGACCTTGAGGTGGAGGCAGATTTTACTGTATAGTAACAAAGAAGCCACAGAAGTTTATCTTTATCCAAAGACACTTAAGTGTTTAAAATAGTATAGACATTCAAAGTAAATATTAAGGGAGTTGTTAAAAATGGAGTTTAAAACAAACCGAAAACAAAGCCTTAAGAAAGATTTCCTCAGGTCTTTCAATAATGCCATGTTTGAGGTTATCATGAACTAAATCTCCCCAAACCACATTATGATTATTTAATTAGATAGAATGGTCATTAACATTCATAATTTTATTTTATTATTTTTTATTAGTTTCAGAGGTAGAATTTAGTGGTTCATCTTTAGTGGTTTAGTGGTGTTGCATATAACACCCAGTGCTCATTATATCAAGTGCCCTCCTTAATGCCCATCACTCAGTTTCCCCATTCCCCCACCCATCTCCCCTCCAGCAACCCTCAGTTTGTTACCTGTAGTTAAGAGTCTCTTATGATTTGTCTTCCTCTCAATTTTCATCTTATATTATTTTTCCTTCCCTTCCCCTATGTTCATCTGTTTTGTATCTTAAACTCCACATATGAGTGAAATTATACAGTATTTGTCTTTCTCTGACTGACTTATTTCAGTTAGCATAATACCCTCTAATTCCATCTACATCATCGCAAATGGCAAGATTTCATTCTTGTTGATGGCTGAGTAATATTCCTGTGTGTGTGTGTGTGTGTGTGTGTGTACATCTTTATCCATTTATCTGTCAGTGCAACATTCATAATTTTAAAGTAGTACTTCACTGACATTCATTTAATAAACATTTAATGAGTGCCAAAAATATCATTTTGGAAATTAATGTGACAGGAGCTTCATGAATTGTTTCAGAGAGAAAAAATCCTTCCTAGGTAATTAAATTTGAAACATAGAAAACTCATGTAACTTTTGTCATGAAGATGACAGTGCCTAAAGATCGAATTGAATTCTTTTGTATTTTTTGTTTACCAAGCCTACATAATATTTACCCCAAAGCTTATTGCTTTGGAAGTAGGATATTTAAGCATTTAGGTCTTTATAGACTCCTGAACTAACTGGGCTTTAGCTGGCCAATTTGCCTCTTATTTTTTCAAGTTAATATTATTCACCATAGTGTATCTGTAGTATAAAGATATAAATCTACTTGAGGATAGCAAAAGTGACTATCATTGTTTAGCACATTTTTTGCATAATGCAAAATAACCATGGTGATCGTAAACATATAAGCCTGAATCAAGAGACTGTGGGTAAGACTGATATATTTCCCACTGTGTCTATGTTGTACTATTTTTTAATTGTCTCTAGGGGTGATGGGGCCAGAGACTATCCCTATGAGCTAGGTTGCTATGGTTTTTCCCTAGGAGATTTGATGGTTCCTACTGTCACTCATCCTGAACAAATAAGACACTGGGTTGACTGAAGTTTTTTTGGTTGTTTTTGTTGTTGTTCTGGGCTTTTGTTTCTGTTTTTTGTTTCTGTTTTTTGTTTTTAAAGCTGGGGGGAAAAACTTACTCTCTGGGTCTGGATAGAAACAGGAGATGGAGAACAGAAAGGAAATCTTCCAGATTTTATGTGATTCTAAATGTCAAGGGAAGCATGGAGTGATCTTCACCAAACTACAGAGTTGATATCAACCAAAGAGATGCCAGAATATGTCTGGCTTTGGCAGTAGTTTTCAGGTAGTTTATTATAATCCCCTTTTATTATTTATTCACCTTCAGCCTTGTACAAGTCAACTTTGGTTTCAATTTGGCTATGGAAAATTGGAGATGGGAAAGTTCCTCTGTACTGAGTTTCTGTCCTAGACACTAGCTGGAGGCAGCATGGCAGTCGTGGCTGAAGAGAGTGGGCAGGCCAACTCGTCAGACATATCAGAAGCTGAGGTTAGGTCACTGTGGCAAGATGTGGAGAATGCAAAGAAATTATGTAAGAGAACTTCATCTTGAACACAACTGAGACCCTAGAAATACTTGTTAAAATGTCCAGGAGATACCTTGGATTTGAGCTATGTTGAATTTAGCTCAGCCATTATAATTCTGCAGTAAAAATGAAGTGCTGTGATATTTTGTAATCCCAGGTTAGAGAGCCCTAGGGTATATGGTTCCTCAGACAATTTCTGTGTTGTTGTTGTTGTTTTTAACTTGGTAAGTTTTTGCACCACACAACTATAGAGGTGCCATGAATATCATAGCTTATTCAAATGAGGCCCTCTGAATTTGTGCAGAATACTCTCTGCATAGATTTATTCAGTGACCCTGTCAAGTAGCAGTTTTTGGTTCCCGGCTTTATATGCATCAATTCTTTATATGCAGAAGTTAATTTAATGCACCATATATCTTATCTTTAATGTTCTTGGGAACCATCTGAATTCTGTTGCTTAAATTTCTCTTTCTACTATTGACAATCTGTCTTCACAACCATATAGAGCTGTTACAAATACAAATCACTTTTTAAAAAAAGCATCATTGGCATACACAATTCAAATTAGGTCTAAGATTTGCCAGTGTTTCTATTTCATAGGAAATTTTATTTTTATGTCTATTTTCCATTTTCCATCTTTTTGTTATTTTTTGATGGCACTGAAATGCCTAAAGAAGTAGGTAAATATATTTTTCTGACTGCTTATTGATTAAAGAAAATAGTAAAGTTGTGCACACTTCACAGTTCTACAGAAGGGCTCACAAACATTTTATCAGGTCTGAAAATTTGTCACTGGGTATATGGGTCTTGGAGAAACAGCCTTCATTCAAATTTGAAATGTGCTATTATATTTAAAATTAAACATTTTTCCTTATTAATTATCAGTGAACATAGCTGGCTTTATGATTCACATTTTCATTGGAAGTGTAGTTTCATAATTGCATGGGAGAAGGGAGTTTGTTCTCCTCGGCCTTTCTATCAAATTGCTTTGGTTTTAAATGGATGGTGATTTTGTGTCTATGTGTGACTCTATGCCCATCTTTTTAGGTTAATGATATAGTCCATCTTCTGAGTGTGAGAGAGGAAGCTGGTGATTAAGAATTCAATTTTGGATTTTGTTTTGCCAAAGCTTGCTTTCATTTAAACTTGTGGAATTTTTTGTTTAACTACCCACCCCACCCCCGCCTCCTTATCCTCTAGTCCAACCCTTTCTGTGTCCCTGGATTTTCTTAGTGTTTAAGCCAATAATTATGCATGTTCATGATATAAACATTCTACTCGAGAGTTAGGCATCCAAATGAAAGCTGGATGTTGTTTACATCTTTTGCTTTGTCAGGGTAGCTTCCAGATGATTGCTCTCTTGACTTTCTCTTCCTCTAACATTTGCTTTTTTTCTCTAATTTACAATTGTTTTGACCTTTTGAAAGTCTAATTCACTTTGCTTTAAGAAAATAAATACTTGTGCCGTGGGCTTTGAACTGCTTTTAATTGTACCTTTTGATTTTTGCCACTAAATGTTTTTTAATACTCTCCAACTCTAAGTGCCTTTTTAAAATGTATAATAACCTAATCAAATTTGATTAACCATCAAAATTCTAAATACTATTTGGGCCTCCATTTGTCTCTGCTTTTGCTACTCTCCAGCTCTAAAGCACTTTCTAGACACCTCAGAATTTAGAGTCCACTCATTTTCAACCATTTTATATTCTTTTTCTTCATTTTATTGTTTTGAAAAAAAATTTACTATGGTAAGAACACTTAACATGAAATCGACCCTCTTAAATTTTTTAAAAATTTTTTATTGTTATGTTAATCACCATATATTACATCATTAGTTTTTGATGTAGTGTTCCACGATTCACTGTTTGCGTATAACACCCAGTGCTCCATGACCCTCTTAAATTTTTAAGTGTACCAAACATTGTGGACTATAGGTACAATGTTGCACAGAAACCCTCTAGAGTTTAGTCATCTTGTTTGACTGAAACTTTATGCCCACTGATTATTAACACCCCTTCTCCCAGCCCCTAGCAACCAACAGTCCACTCTGATTCTATGAATTTGACTTATATGAATTTCATATAATTTTTATTTATATGAATTTTATTTCCTACTTAAATGAATTTTAGATACTTCATATAAGTGGAATCATGCAGTGTCTCTTTTTGTGACTGCCTTATTTCATTTAACATAATGTCTTCATAGTTCATTCATGTTGTTGCATATTGCAAAATTTCCTTCTCTTTTAAGGCTGAATAGTATTCCATTGTGTGTTCATACCACATTTTTTTGCATCCATTCAACTGTTGATAGACATTTAGGTTGTTTCCACATCTTGGCTATTGGTAACAGTGCTGCAGTGAATACAGGAGTGTTAGTATCTTGATTTCAATTCTTTTGGATAAATACCCCCAAGTGAGTTTGCTGGATCATATTGTAGTTTTGCTTTTAAGTTTTTCTGAACCTCCATTTAGTGGCTGCACTATTTTTCATTCCCACCAACAATACGAAACAAAAATTAAAAAAAAATACTTAGGAATAAACTTAA